AGTATAAAAACTAAACAAATGAAAAACAAATTGAGTGAAATCTGAATTTCTACCCTTTTTGTGTATTTGTTGATCAGACTAACTGATTACAAATTTATCATTACTTAAATACTGCGTGACTTTATTATCATAAAATTATGCCTAAGAACAATAAAAACTTTATATTAAAATTAAAAAAAAACGTTTATAGTAAGATATAATTATGCATTGACTCGATAAAATAACTATGTATATCATAATGAATATTTTAATCTCACGAGATTATATTTGTTAGAAAGGCTTTCATGCTATTAAATTTTTTTTTCCTACATTTAAATCTTTCGGAGCAAAGTAGACCTAAACACACGTGCATTCAGATCGCACGAACGCCTGCTTCCTTTTTCTACCTGATGCTTTGTTAGTGCATGACTAATTGGTTTCAGAAGTTATTAAATGATATGCGAATCATTCTTTTTAACCGACTAAAAGTAGCACTCTTATTTCACTGTTTAACTTTGTCAAAAATTTTATATACTGCATTTTGTTTGAAATATTATATTTTAACAATATACACTTCGTTAAAAATATACGATAAAGCAAACAATTCTGTACTACTCGTGTGCGTAATTACGAGAATTTGCAAATTATGTTTATTTTTCTGAAACTTATTGAACCACAGGTACAAATTATACTGCCAAATAATTATGCAGATATTCAGAGACGAATACATAAGCGTACATGGGCATCTCTGAGGAGCTGTGATTGTGGAGGAGATAAACGCTTACTACGGGTTTTAGGCGATTTCTGTGTTCGTATTCCTGAATAATATTCGACCTGGTTCGCCCAAGAGTTGGGTAAATTTTTTAAAGCATCTGGTAAAATGAGTAACCTCGAAGTATGGATGGCAAAAAGAGATGGAAAATCGTCTACTGATTGGAGACAGGCCACCCACAAGCGCAGGTGGCTGCAGATCCCAATGTAACAACCAGTAACGTCTGGAATTTGTGGGAATAATTTCAGTACCCTGGATTCATATCAAAAAGCACTGGAGAAGGTCGAATAAGATCTATAACGATGAATAAGAATCCTTATTTGGTACTTTCAGCTCGACGACGAAGAATTGCTACAGCTTTACAACTCTCACATGAGTTGTATGCTGCCTTTGAAACCCCAGTTTCATGCCTAAAATGCCTAAAAGCTTCATGATAGCGCCTTAAACCGGAATCTAGTGGAGTGTCGTACTTTTTATAGCTTTCACCCTGGACAATGATTCTCAGTGTAACCGTATCTGGAAAAGCCTGGAACACGATACATCACCCTTTCATCAGAGAAAATTATCTTTACCTTGTTGGAGCTGTACTGGGCAGGCATTATGATGGACGGCCGCAACCTCTGCCTCAGTCTAATAAATGTTCCCTGACTGCTCTGTTGTACAGAGAGCAGACCTTAGAACCTTACGTTCGACTCTTAAGGAGAACAGTTTGTCTTGGGATTATGTTAATGGACGGCGACACTCGTCCACCATAGGTTTCAACTGGTCGACAATTACTTGGAAAATGAGGCTATTTATCACATGGATTATTCATCCAGATTTTCTGGCCCTATACCTATACAGCGGGACTGGGTACCTGCCCGTAACCCATACAACATGGTGAGCTTGTGAGGGCAATGTCATCTCGCCTTTCCCTCCGAGAACCAGCCCAAAGTTGAAAACTGACTTGTTTTTGTTTTGAAGTGGGATCGACTACAACAGGAACTCCTCAACTGCTTCCTGTGAAGTATGCCGTCATATGTGCGATCTGCCGGACTGTGAAAGGAGACCATACCCTATATTAGAATTATTTTCAGTTTGTTATCAGAAGTTGGATTTTGACTTCCCCTGGAGTATGAGCTTTACTGATAATCATGTTTACATTAATTTACATTAGAACGGTACACTGAGCAAAAAATAAATAAGTAAATAAAAAATAAGAAATAAAAAAAAATGAGACAATTCGATATCTTCCGTTCTACTGGAACGATTGACTAAATTCAAATTGCGTTTTTCATGTATCGAAAGCGCGACTTATGTTATATATTCAATTTATATATAGCATTGTTATAATATAGGCATTTCAACACAAAATCGGACCTTTTTCTGAAATTACAAGACAATTTTTTTTCCATATAAATTACAAGACAATTTTCTACGACTCAAATTATGCCATAGAGCCAAATTTTGTAAAAATCAAACAAGTAGTTTTTAAAATATTAGCTCTCAAAATTTTAGCTCCTCAGTGTTAATTGAATTTGATATATATTTATTAATACCTCTTTTTTAAAAAAAACTTGTTTGGTTCTTCCTTACACATTTCGAAATTTAGGTTCATTCCGAATAAAAGTCGTTCATTTTTTATGATTTACTTTTAAAATTTGTATTTGTAAATATTTTATAAATTTTTCGAAATAATTACTGGTATAATTTTTTTAAGCGATAATAACACCAAATGTGGTTCAGGCACTTTATTGAAATTATTTGAAAGTATGAACGATGACATTTTTTCCACACGTATTCAGTTTAAAAAAGGACAATACGTTCCTATAAATTAAGAAGTTCTTAGCGCAAGCGGAAAAATATGCGCCAAGATAAATTGCTGCGTTGCTTCACTAAGTTTTACAAAATTTAATATTTATGCGTAATTTGAGTCTTCGAATCGAAATTAAAAAAAAAAAAAAAATGGCATGTCGTTTCAGAAAAAGTATGATTTTGTATCAAAATACCTATATTAGAACAATGCTATATCTAAATATACTGCATATCCTAAATCGCGCTTTCGAGACATGAAAAACGCAAATGAATTTCGTCAATCTCCCCAGTAGAATGGGAGATATAGAACTGTCCCACTTTTTTCCCCCGCAGTTGACATGTCTTTCTCTGTTATATATATATTAAATTTGATTAAAGTCCGTCCATTAGTTTTCAAAAATTCACCATAATGGGCGAACGATCTTAATTTAGCACACTGGTGTACTTATTTAGCCACCAGAAAATACGTTAACCCAGTTACTTCGATTTTGCGGATGTTTCTTTTAGTACGGTTTTCAGTTAGTACAGATATCTGAAGTTCAGTTGCATATTTGTTCTTTACATTCACAAATTTCACTTGAAACTTTATATAAAACTTATGAAAGTTGGGTTGAGTGTAAAAAAATAAATAATGTTCTACATATAAGACATTTTGCTAAAGATTCAATAATTTTAATTTACTTAAAATTATAATTTAATTCCAAAACTCTAACAATAAAAATGCCAGTGCTAATGCATATTAAATAAAAATGGCATTGTTAACTCCCGCAATGTTAATCTGTTCTAAACTGCGAACAGTATATTTTCAAAATACCAATGTTAATGCATATTAAATAAAAATTGATAACGTTAGCACACGCAGTGTTAATATGCTTTAAAATGCGAATAATATATTTGCATTTCATTTACGTCATAATACAATTTATTACATTTTACTTGATTCAGACGCATTGGTCTGTTTGTCAGTTAAAGCATAATATATTTATGATATAAATAAGATAAGTTATGTGTTGTTCAAAATTGTTTTTAATGAACAAACTTAAATTTCAATACCATAGAATAAGAAAATTGGTCCATTAAATTTGTTACTGTTGCTAAGATTTGTTTTCAGCAAAGCAAGTATTGCATTCAAAATTGGATAAATTTTTTTGTAAAAGAGTTTTCAACAGATTTTATAGAATTTCCCTTGAATGGAAATTTTCGAATTTTGTAGAATCTCGATTTTTCATACTATGTATATTATGAAATGTAGTAAGATAAATAGATATGAATGAGTTAATTGCATAGATATTGATTCATAATGACGAGCAAAGTTGGCAGACAAGGCAGATGAAATATTTATTTTTATCAAATAAACAATTTCCACATTAATTGCGTCATTTCAAGAACATTTACATTTTTGCATTTTTAATATTTCTGCAATAAGAAGAAAGCGGAGATGCAGCGTTCTAGCGTGAACGGAAGTAGAGGCTTATTAAAAGATAGATTTCTGTTCTCGAAATTTTGAGTTATCCGAATTAGCTACGACATCATTTTTATGAACATAGGTGAGAAAAATTAAATAATGATACGATTACAACAGTAGGGAATGCATTCGACTAAATGCATGATATTAGAAGAACATCCGGGCTTCCTTAAAATATAACTGAAGGTTCTGGAACTGATAAATGTGTCAGCCTTAGCTTATAAAATAGCGATAGTAAAAGTTCTGTCAACTCAAGATGGATGACGAGTTATATCTTTGGTATAAAAGCAACCTAACATTCTCGAAAACAAATGCATCATCGATGGATAACCAGTAAGTAAAATAACGGTTCTTTCTTTCGCTGAAGTGTAGGCTCGATATAAATTTTCGATCCTGTTCAAAAACGACTATCTTGCAGATTCAATATGGATCATATCTAAGTCACATAGAGCTAACAGCCAAGTCGCCAAAGATATTTTTAGTACTTATATATCTTGTCCTGAGAAACTTCAGAGAGCAAGAGATGAGATTTACATTGTTCAATGTATTTTACAGAGGCGTTTCATTCTACTCGCCTATCATTGCTGACAGCGCATAATGTTACAATAAGATAATATGATGCCAAATTTATCAAAACTGGCTTTATGCAAAGTGGTGCAACATTATTGACCCAGAGGAGTCATCTTTTCCGCTTAAACGGGCTGCTGATAGATCATGGGTGAGATGTCAGAAACATAAAACCATCCTGTCATCTTAAAAATTAAGTTTGTTCATGCTGAAAATTAATGAAATAAGGGGCAGATTATGGAAAAGATACATATGTAAAATTCAATAGGAAATAAATAAGTAAAACATTAGTAGCGATAAAACAAATTGTCACCTTAAAAGGTTATCTTTAATGCTGTATTAAAAGAGTGTAACTCTTGGCAAATAAGTAATATGGAAGGCACTATATATGCTTACGAAAAAGAAGTCTATAAACTGACTTACACATGTTTTCCTCGAGTAGAATTCCAAACAGAACTTTTCTCTTTTTTTGCTTTCTAGCTCTCCAGTCTTTTTTCCTTTTGTACAGTCGACGTATTTGTTCCATTACTACGCAGTAACCGGAAGAACAAAAGAATGATAGTTAGGGGTGGCCGAATGGGAGCAGAGGGTGCATCCAGGGTAAGTGTTCTACTACGCGACAGCTCGGGCTGCGCAGGTGGGCTCTTCCAGAGACGGTTCTGATTGTCTACCAATCAGCGAAAGAAAGGAAACCCAGTTTAAGTGACATCTACACACGTGGACAAGACGCAGAGTACTTTTGTTTTTATCCGATTCTTTTCTGGTGTGATTTGATGGAGTTAGTTTCATCCAGTTTTCTATCTTAGCTTTATATTTGCTGAAACTGTATTACCTAGGTGGAATTAGGAGAATTGGGTCACTTATTTGTATAATAGAATTCCTGGAGTTTTATGAAACATGTAATGCGCATAAAAACTTCTTGAAACTGCACTGCTATGCTGCTCGCAAACAAATAGTTTCACAACTATTTCAAGCAATTCTTATATTTCGTAATAGGCTTTGAGCTCAATATGATGTTCGTGTGGGAAGGAATAGGGGATTGAGCATCAGAATTCTTAAATAGTATTCGAAGATGCAGAGCCTGTTTCCAAAGTCTAAATTTAAAATTAATATGTTTGGGATTATTTGAATTAAGATTTACATTTTAAGTAACGATGATGCTAAATTAAATTTATAAATTAAAAAAAAATATGAAAAAGAAGGGTAAAATTCATTGCACCCAAACTGTTGAAGTGTCATTATCAGAAAAATATCTCTCCGTTATTTCATTTTCCAATAGTAAAATATTTCTTGCCGTCTCGTTGACAAAATATTCAAGTAGCGACTTTAAAAAAGGAAGTGTAGTTGAAGAAATCTATGAGATTAATAGGTTAATAGAAGTAAGATATTTCCTGTTTCATTTTTAAGCTTTCCGGCGTTGTTTCGGATAAATCCTTTTCTGTGTTTATAGGAGATTTTTCAGCATCTCACTTTGATCAAGGCAACTTTTATCGAACTGGCGATGAACTGTACTGTTACAAATATTTCGATCAGGGAGCTAGATATGAGAACATTTAATCAATGAAGAGACTTGTATTAGCTTGAACTATAAAGTAATCCTGGTTTTTGAACAGTAGTAGATTTAATCTGGTTACGGTATCTCTTCATCGGGATCAAAGACTGATAATATATAGCATTCTGCCAATCTAACCAGACGTGCTTTTACAAGATATTTTGTTTTAAGTAGAAAATTGCGAGGGACATGTCGAAAGTTCCAGAAACTAAGGTATATATATATATTTCTTTAATTTCGTCAGTTTTCACCAATATTAGAACAATTATTATTAATTCACCAAATTTTAATAAAATATAAAAAAATTAATTTAATACACTTATTCCAACAAAAAATGTTTTAGAATTCACAAATTTACAACACATGTTTTTTAACGACTCCTCAAAGAACGTTTTCGGTTTCTTTTCAATCCACTTTTTGAAGTCGGGGTTAAGTTCTCCAATCGAATACATCGTAAAGATTTTTTAAATGTGGGAACAAAATGCAAAAACAAAATACTTCTTGCAGATATTCAAAAATATCTGAAGTTTTCACACACACACACACACAAAAAAAAAAAAAAAAAAAAAAAAAAGGTGATTCCTCTTAGAACCTTTCGTGGTCCAAAAAACAGTGCTGCAAAAATTCGGTTGTACCAGTCAAACAACTGAATAATATTGAACATGATGGTTCCATAAACAAATCAAGATTTCTTCCTGGTCGATATCGTTACCCGTAAGTTTAAGGAATTGAACAAGAGCTTAGTTTCCAGAAATTTGGAAACACCTTTCTTATATGATATTTTTAATTTTATTTATTTAGTTATTACGTAAGGAAGAAAAACTAAACTGTGAGGTTGAAGTAAGTACTAAGCTAAGGCAGAGTTAGGTCCCGATAAACTCTTTTTACATGTTTCGTATAAGATATCTTTGACACGGCAATTCATGCTTACATTGTGTACAAATTAAAGCATTCTTGGCTGTTAGAATCTTTTTTTTAATTCTCATGTAGCACTCATAATGCAGCTGTGTAAATTCAAAGTAACATGATTTTTTTTTTTTTTTCTTCTCTTCAAGGAGCGCGATAGCTGAAAGCGATTAGGCCAGATTGAAGTCGGGCTGCTTGCAAACCAATTAAGTATACATATCGACGTTTTCAGACCAAATGGTCGTTAGCCCAGAAGGGCTATTAGTCTCGAAACGGCCTTTTACATCGAATCACTATAAACGGCCGTATCACTTTATACTTGTAAATTGTTGCCACCGAGCATTATGGCCCTGTACTATATTTAAAGAAATTAAATAATGAAGAATCTGCATGAATGTATGTATGCTTTTCGCTTTGTGAAAAAAATAATGTTACCGAGAGCCATCCAATTTTGAATAACGTAGTGCTCCAACTCTAATATAGGCACCTGGGAGCCCGAATCTTCAATTACGAATTGTTTTGTCAGTTATTTCACATTTCTTAAACTTTAACGAATTTTTGATTAAGAAACTCAAAGATTAAAGGCGAGCAGTGGCAACACTCTGTACGGAATGAAATATTCAATACGGGTTCGTGGGTTTGGAGTGATTGAAGACTACACTTGATGAAGTATCGAAACACAATTTATTTGCCTGTATTACTCAGGACAACTTCAATGACACGTTTACCGTCGTCGAAAAACTACGACAAGCACGCTGAAACAATCAGCAACACAGCCTTCAGACTGTCAGACTATAACGGCGAAGGCAGCTTCATGGCAAAGCTTTAGAGTACAGCTTCCGACTCGGTTCGGTCGTTCTCGGAATTCAACGTGATCTCGAGACTCTCCAAGGTGCAACACGTGATGCACTAAGAGATTCTCTCGATGCATTCGACGACCAACTCGACACTAGACTGATAATCAACTGGATAGACTCTCGATCGACTCCTACACCGCGTACAAGCAGGGTTTATATAGATTTTTGGGCTGCCTTCGAGAACATTGGGGGCCAAACCGGTAAGAATTCGTTCTAGAAGGTACTCCATCTGTTTATGGCATATCGTAAATTTTTATCGCCAAATAGGTGATTTCACGCCAAACCCGGTAATCCTGCCCCTCCTTACCGTTTTCTGGCAACCCTAAACCCGCTCTGCGGAAGTTACCTTACCGCAGCTGCACATTTCTTAGCAATATTTTTATAATACGCTAGTCTGTGTATCGAATTTTTTTGAATATTTTTAGCCAAAAGGGGCTTTAGCCAAATGTTCTTGAAACGAGCATGTATGTAAATGTAAGAACGCTCCTTTGGCCGTAATACAAAATCTGAAAGCTTTCATACATTTTTTAAAATTATTCTTTGATTTTTTACAGAACGCTATTATTTTCTAAATACGGTTATCCATACTGTATACATTTTATGTGTAATTTCAGTTGAAATCAGTGCACTTTCAAGGGAAATTTCATTTTTGAAATTTATAAGGCATTTCTCCCACCTTCTTAGCGTGCCTTCGTGGTGTAGTGGTTCTGCACGCTGGGCCGGTATTCCAGAGGTCCGTGGTTCGATTCCTGGCGAAGGCGCTTGCATATTTTTCATCTCTCCTGCTTCAAAAATACCTAATATCTCTACAGTGGCGCCCGAACTAAAAGGCTTGTGGATGATGAATCTCCACACCCAGGATTTGGCGATTGGGTCCCCTAAAACCACAGTCGCTCTTTAAAAGGGGGAGTATGTAAGGTATTTTTCCCACCTTCTTAGCGTGCTTTTGTGGTGTAATGGTTCTGCACGCTAGGCCGGTATTCCAGAGTTCCGTGGTTCGATTCCCGGCGAAGGCGATTGCTCATTTTTCAACTTGCCTGCTTCCAAAAATAACGTAATGACTCCAAATTTATTCGTCAATTTATAAAATTTTCTCTCTGCTGTTGTGGATATTGCAGGTAGATAAAATAAGGTATTTCGTTTTAACTACCATAAAGTATAATAAGTTACTAAATAAATAAAAACACTTTTTGTTACGTTCTTTTAAGTAACCTGGAATTCGTAATTAAAGAAATGTTTTAATATTCCTCACATTTTTTTGAAGTTTTGATAAAAAGAAATTGAATTAAATGCAGGAAGTATTTTACACTAGCTCTTGGTGAAAAAAACCACAAAAGCACATGCTCATTTGTGATGTTTTGATAACAAGAAATTGGATTAAATGAAATAACTAATTTGTACTTGCTCTTGATGAAAGAACCGTAAAATCTTACACTCATTTGTGATATATTCAATTTACTCAATCTTTTTTTTCCTTCTCTAATTAACTTTTAACTAAATAAAAGAATACACATACAGATAACATCGCAATTAGGTTCACATTATCTTCCGGAAGCGTCAGAATACTTCTGTCAAAATTTTTAGTTCCTTATAATTTTCACAATCGTTCTGCTTCTATTTTCATGCAGATAAGAGAACAAGGGAGGGGGAAGAAAAAATTCGCTGCGCATTTCTACTAAAATTAATCACCCTAGATTTTTTTAAACATCAGTAAAATAACATAATCTGGGCATAAATGTACGAAAGTTGCCCAAAATGATATGGAAATGAGTTCACTGAGCGATGTTGGGGTAATTACATAACGTATTCCCTCCAGTTAATGATTTGAATTATAGGATATTTCGCATCGCTTAACCTGTTCTTCCGAATATTCTACGTTTCCTTTTTACTTATGGAAATTTATTGAGATCTTCAAAAATAAATATTTAAATTACAGTTTTGCATTTTTTTCGCATCCGAGATCATAATGCATGTAATTCTATGTTGGAGCCATTTTCGCCTCTTGCGACATTGATTGCAGCCGGAATCAATGTATTCTCTCTGCTTCGTTTGTTATTCTCTTCTAAATCCAAGACATAGCAAGAAATTAATATCGAATTACTGCTTTTGAAACGGGTTTCTTATTCATTATCTGAGACCATTTCCGTACGGAAATCCATTAGAGACTGATGAGATGGTGAAAACTAATTTAGTAGGAATCGCCATCTGGTATTGAAAATGAATAAAAAGGAAGCACTTTATTTCAATAAGACAGAAATCAAAAACGAAAAATCACGGGAAATTATTTTTAAATTATGTGACTCTCCATAGTGTTTCTCAACTCCCCATTCTTTTATTTTATGATA